TTTTTTTTTTTGGAGATGGGGGTGGGTTTGGGGGCTGTTTCCTAAGAGTGGGACTGGGGGACTTTTTGCTTTTCCTCGTGCTTTCTTCTCTGGTCCTGGGGAGCAGAGGTTAGTAATGGGTGTTTTTGCTTATGTATCACATGCTAACGTTGTGTTCTCTTGCACAGAAAGGCACTCGAATCACTGAAACTGCTAAACAGCTTCGACACTAATAGAGTATTAATGTTTATAAGCTTTACACAACTAGACTGGAACTAGACAGGGACTAACAGATTGTTTTGTATCCAATTCAGGGAAAGAAACAAGTCGGGATGCGTAACAGATACCTCAGTAAAATAAGCTGCAACAATACCCCGGTCCCTCATCGTGCAGCGGTGGGGACCGGCCGTTCAGACTGTGAAGAGTAACCCTTCCCCAGGCCTGGGTTTGATGCTGGCAGTGTCCGGGTCACCTACTGAGCTGCCGGGTGCTGGGGATGGGGTTCTAGAAACCAGCAGCAGAGGGAGGGCGGAGGAGCGGGGTGGGCTGGGTGAGCCCCCGGCTCCCATTCATTTCACTCAGCGCGTTGGATTGTAGAGTACTCAGGGTTTTGGTACTGCGGGTAGGACTGTTCCTCGGGTGAAGCGTTCCACTTTGCAGTGCGTTTAAATTTCTCTTCCAACTCCAGACCAGCGAAAGTTTCACAGCGAGCAGCCAAAAATAAAGAAATAAATAATAAGGATGAGAAGAAGCCCGTGGCTGCTCGGTGCGGCCGTGGGATGGGAGTGCTGCCCCACATCCCAGCTCCGGGCTGGCACAGCAATGGGGCTGCAGTGGGACGCGGCGCTCTGGAGGGATTCGGGTCAGAATGTTCTCACCAAACAACGGCAGCAGCCTTGCTACTCGTTTTCTTACCTATTTAAAGTAAAAATAAGTAAATAAAAAAAAAAAAAAGAAATGTGATAGCCTAGGCGGTGGATAAATACCTCAACGTCTCCTTCCAACAAGTGTCTGTATATGTTGTTGTTGGGTTTTTTCTATCTTACACGTTATCTGAATGTTTATATTCCAATAAACTTCTACCTCTTCACACGGTGACCCAACAGCCTCTTTGGGGGCAGCGCTGGTTGGTGGGGGGGGGGAAGGGATCAGCCCCTGGGATGGGGTGGGCCGTGCTGGGCGAGCCGGGGGGTTTCACCCAACGATTCCATCCTGGGAGGGGTCCTCAGCCCTGTGCTTGGCAGTGGTCAGCAGCTATAAACCGGGCTTGGAGAGGCCTGCAATGGATGCTGGTCACCGCCCTCCCATAGTCGTTTCGGTCGGTGCATCCTCGAGGCGAGGAGCTGGGAAGGAGCTTTTTCCCCGTGGCGCGCAAAGGGTTAACCTCCGGGCCACAGAGAGGGGCGGCTAGAGCGGCGCTGAGGGGGGCGGGGCAAGCGGCGGAAGCGGAAGTGGGGGCAGAGCGGGACTGGAGGCGCTGCTGGGCCGGGCCGGGCCGGGCCGCACCCTCCGAACGCAGAGGGGCCGAGCGGCGGTGAGCGGCGCGACGCGGCCGGGGGCGGCTTAACGGCTCGGGGGCGGCTTAACGGCTCGGGGGGGCGTTCAACGCCGCTCGGGAGGACGGACTGAACCCCGCGGGGGAGGTCGGAGGGCTCCGGGGGGCGGGTTAACGGGGCCCGGGGGCGGTCTGACGGCTGCGGGGGGGGCGGCGGGAGCTGAGCGCGCTGCTCGTGTCCGCAGATGCACCACTGCAAGAGGTACCGCTCCCCGGAGCACGAGCCGTGCTGGGGGCCGCGCTGGAAGAGGAGGCGCTCCCGGAGCAGGGCCTACGAGGGCCGTCCGCGCTGCCAGCCCCGCAGGGACCTGCCCAGGAGGTCGCGATCCAGGAGGTGAGGGCCGGCGGCGGGGCGGGGGGCTGCGGCCGCAATAAAAGTACGGCGGGACGCAGCGTTGCTGGCAGTACCGGCGTTGTGTTCATCTGTCAGCCAGCTCCTTCTGAAATGATCACGGCTCAAAGCGGTGTTTCTACTGCCCCTGCCCCGCCGGAGTAATTCCAAGCGCCCCGGCAACACGAACCGGTGTTGTCTGTGCCATCAGTGAATTGCAGAACGTCCTGGGTTGGGTCACCGAGTCCAGCTCCAAACGGATGAAATGCCAGCTTAGCTCTAAAGAAGAAAAACCCAAGAGAAAACCTTTTGGCCCCTCTGTCTGCAGGCTCTGAGCCTCGCGTGGGTTCCCTCGTATGGGTTCCTTTGGGTCGGTATTTCTGAGCCCTGGGGTTTCACAGAGGCACGGTTGGAGCTTTCGGAGGGATTTGGGATAGTGTGAGCCAAGGTGGCCGCTGTCCTGGCAGGCAGAGCGATGTTTTGTCCTCGTTCTGAGATGGAGTGACCCAGCACAGGTGTGCAGGGAGTATGGAGATGTGGCACTTGGGGATGTGTGTAGTGGGCATGGTGGGGGTGGGCTGATGGTTGGGACTCGCTGACCTCAGAGGTGTTTTCCAATCATAATGACTCTGACTCTGCATTTATCCACATTCTCTTAAGCTGCCAGCAAGAAAGTCAGTCGCTGCCAAAACAGAAGAGAAACAAAGACAGGTTTCTGTCTGCAGACCAATGTGGCTGTAGTGTGGTCTTAGCTGCAGCAGTGATTGCTGTCAGCTGGGTATGAGAGATGGCAGCAGCCTGGCCAGATGCGTGCCCAAAACAGTGCTGCTGATCACATTCGTGTTTATCATTGCCCATATGCTGTGATTTCTCAGAGCAGCAGCATCCACCTAAAAGATGGTTTGGCGTGCATGTGAAGCAGGGCTTGAGTAGAAACTGCTTGATTACAGCAGCTGGGATACAGAAGGCAGCTAAAGCCCCCCCTTACATATTTGCAGCCAGTGGTTGTGGCTAGAGGCAGGCGTAGCTGTAGAGCAGAGACCAAACATTCCTTGTGGCTCTTGCTAATTAATGATTACCATGCCCATCAACGGCTTGGTGTGTGGGGGGCTCTCACCCCGCTGGGACAGGACGGTGCTTTTGATGCTTTTCCAGACTGACAAATGTTGTTTGTGCTGCAGCCATGACAGGATGCCTTATCACAGGAGATACAGAGACCGACGGGACAGCGACGCCTACAGATTGGAAGAGCGGAGCCCGTCCTTCGACGAGGACTATTCCTCGACCCGCACACGGACCTGGCGGCGATCCCGCGACAGAGAGCAGCACCGTGACAGGAAGCACCAGCACCACTGCAGGAAACGCAGGACCAGGTCTTGTAGCAGTGCCTCCTCGGTGAGTAGCATCCAGAACGAGCTCGGGATTGGTCAGGTGTTAACCATTCTTACCTCCTTCTAGCTCTGAACGCTCTGGGTGAGTACCTCTAATCTCGTTTTTTGTGTTTGTTTTGATTACGTGCAGTCTGTAGTCCCTAGAATGTGTCTTGTTAAGCGAGGAGCATTTGTAGCTCTCAGTTTTTCCTAGCCCAGCCCCTGTAGCTTTAATACGTGAGGAAACTAAGCTGTGCTCTCCGTGGCCAGGGGAGGGGATGAGTGAAGGCTTCAAATGGCGCACACGTGACACTCTAACAGATGAGCCCTGGCTCCAGGCCAGCTGGGCTGCTGGTTGTGTGGGTTTATAGGCAGCAGAGGCCTCGCTTCTGCATATCCGTGCTTCTTTGAGGGGATTTGGTATGCAGCGGTGGTACGGAGTGCTCCGTGAGGGCAGTGTTGGTTTGGGTTTGTGCCAGCATCCCGCACCGAATGGGGTCAGCCAGCTGTATCGAGCCTTGTTCTTCTGAGCCATTAGCCCTTGGTATTAATTCCTGTCCCACCGTGCTTAGCAGAGCCCTGCACCCTTTGAGAATACATGTGTCCTCTTTGCCTGGTTCCATACAGCTCTCCTCAGACCTCCGTTTCTTTGAAAACATCGCTGTTTTCCACCCTGATTCTAACAGAAAGGGGTGTTCCTTCCCAAGATGTTTTGAGGGTTAGATGGAATTATTTGGCACGGGGTAGGGAGGATTGTCCCTTGAATGTCCTGAAAGTGCTGTGAGGTATCAGACTCCATGTATGCCTCACTTCTCTTCAGAAAGGAAAGTATCTATCGTGCACGTTTGTTGCTTTTAACTGTGATTACAATTAAGTGACCAAGTCCTGATCCCTGCAGCTACAGTGGATATCTGCATGGCTTGGAACTTCTGACCGTCTGTTGCTTTCCTCCTTTCACTCCTTTCCCATTGACTTTTTAATTTTTGCCTTAGAAAGAGCCAGGGCTGTGACTAAAATGTTACAGTGTGGTTTGTGTGCAGTGATCCAGTGTGCAGGTTTGGGTTGGTGTGATCTGAATTCTTTGAAGCTCTCTCAACTGTCCTCTCTCCTCTCTACCTCCTTCTCTGTTTCAGCTTACCTTTGGGGGTCTGTAGCTTCCCATTTTGGACTGGGCATGGGGCAAAGGGTACGGAAGACAAGCCTGATAGATGTCCAGGCATGGAAATGTAGAGCTTTGTTTCCATTTTTAAGTCTAAATGGAAAAGATCAGGAATTAGGACAGCTCTCTTTGGACCTGGTCCTTCTGGAAACGTTTGGCTGGTTGTCCAGTAGAAGCTAGCAGTAGCAGGAGTAAACATGACCTTGTACCTGTAGTGGACACCTGGAGCGAAACGCTCCCTAGGGATTCATTTGACTTGTTCCTAAAGTTCTTCCAGGCTTAAAATTACACCCTAAGGAAAAAGAGCAATGCTAGATCTGCTTGCAGCCAGTCAGGCGTAGAGATGGAGGATCAACCTCGTTGATTCTATTGAGAAGTGGCAGGATGCACTAGGGAGCTGGCGACCTGTTAGCCAAGGTATAAGAGAGCAGGCTGTATGGGAGACAACTGCTACTCTGGCTTCTACTGGACAGCCTGTCCAGCTCCTTTACCCTTCATCATGTTTGCCAGCGGAGAAAAATGACATTCTTCTGGCAAAGCCCTCTTCCTCCTTGTGCCTCTGGGGCCTCTGGTGCTCCTGAGGATGTTGCTCCTCTGTGCAAACTCTGGGGGAGCGGTGGTGCCGAGCCAGTGCCTGGAGCTCCCCAGTTGCTGCCCTGCAGAGAAGAGGGGGACCTTTCCCTGACTGGGGCAGTGGCACCAGCCCCTGTAGCTAACGAGAGTTTTCTTTACATACCTGTTAGCTGTTGATTACTTTTCTGTTTTGAAGTTAGTTTGTGTCTTGACGTGTCCCTTGCAATATCCCTATCGTTATATATGCTGTGTGCCTTATGAAATGCTGGGATCTGGAAAATCCAACCACCGACGCACCGTCGTCTCCACCTTTGAATGACAACCCAATCTGCCACTCGGAACTGCCCGCTGTGCGCACTCGGTCGTATGCCGTTTCGGGGGGCGGTGCGTACAGAGAAGCCAACAGAGCAGTAAGCGCAGCAGGAGCGTGGAAGATGACAAGGAAGGCCACCTGGTGTGCAGGATCGGCGATTGGCTTCAAGAGCGATGTACAGCCACCTTTCGTAAAACTTTACCTCTACTTTCTATCCCCGTGTTAGACGAGATCTCTCTTATTGTACTGGAGGGGTCTCCTAGTGTTTATTGCTTATAAATGGACTGATCAGTAAATTGCCTGAGGCAGACAATAGTCACCTGAGTTTTAAAGAGCGTAGCAGTGAGAGACGTTTTTGTTTTGACACTTTATTGCTGTGAATTGCAGGAGCTCAGCTCGCACCGCTCCACTCAAGTTCACATCTGCTCCTGTTTTCTCTCCTAGATGAAATTGTCGGCAGCCTTGGCGAAGGCACTTTTGGCAAAGTTGTGGAGTGTGTAGACCACGCCAGGTAGGTGGTTCTCACTTCCAAACACCTTGTCTATCCGTCGTGCTGCAAACCCAGAGGCTTGTGAGGGTGGCAAGATTTATGCTGCCACTATAATGCACTATTCAGCAACTGAGAGCTTCAGCACAGGGCTGCTCTACTGCCCTACTGTAAAAGCAGGGAACTCCAGGGCTGGGCTAGCCAGATGGGAAAGCAGCCTCTTAATCTGCCACAGCGCTTCTTTTTTCGTCCTCTCCTGTGATTACATTTGACCCTGATCTCTTCCCAACCTTTCATCTGGCTCTGAGCCCCAGGGTCAGCTTAGCACAGAAGCTGCTGGGATCTCCTGCCTCCTCAGGCACAGTTGGAAAGAGGAGTTGTCTGCTGGAGTGACAGTGACCTTAGGGACTGCTGGGTCAGGACGTGGTGTATTTGCAGAGTTTGCTGCAGCTCTCTTTCGGGTGTTACTTGAGCCTTTCACTTCAAACTTCTGTGGGTATATCAGCACTTGTCAAGGCTGGGACAAGGACAGAACATCTAATCTCTTACCCAGCGACCTCGCTGGTTCTTGTGCGCTATCACTTACTCATCCCAAGCTTGCTGAAGGCTGTCTCCTTCCTGCTCCTGTTTGTATTTCTTAGTACGGCCCTAAAGGCTGCTGCAGGGCCCTGTGGAACACGTATAGCAGGCAGTAACAGCTTTTGCTCTGACTCCTTTTGTCTCTTCTCTTACAGAGGCAAATCACAGGTGGCACTAAAAATCATAAAAAATGTTGGGAAGTACCGTGAGGCAGCCAGGCTGGAAATTAACGTCCTGAAGAAAATCAAAGAGAAGGACAAGGAGAACAAATTGTAAGCTTGGAATACCTGCTACTACTCTCCTGTCAGGGGAAACCTGTCTTATGCCTCCGCGTTTTGGGAGAACCTGTCCCTAATTCTGCTATAAACTTGTTTACTGAAATCTTAACAGCTGACATGCTGGGTTATAGCGAGGAAAAATTAACTACAACTTATCTGGCATGAGAGTCAGAGTATTAGAGATCTGTATGTAAAGGTGGTTGAGCAAAGTGGGGACGGGGTGCAAACAGGATTATTGCGCTTCCAAGTCAGCTGGCTCAGAGCTTTTGCTTAGCAACGGTTGGGAGAATCACTGTACTTTCAAGTCTCTAAATGATGCTTAATCCTCATGTCGTCTTCTCTGTAAAGCTTGTGTGTCCTGATGTCAGACTGGTTCAACTTCCACGGCCACATGTGCATTGCCTTTGAACTTCTTGGCAAGAACACTTTTGAGTTCCTGAAGGAGAATAATTTCCAGCCATACCCTCTCCCTCAGATCCGGCACATGGCCTACCAGCTCTGCCATGCCTTGAAATGTGAGTTACATGGGGCCAGCCTCTGGAGCTGCCAGCAGCTGTTTGTCCTCCTGTACCTGCTGGTTTTGCTTTTATCCGTAGTGGTACCTGAGTATTTTAGCTTCTTTGCTGAAGCTTGTAAGAAAGACAAGAGGTGCTGATTTCTATGGACGACAAAGCAAGGATGGAGTGGTAGTCTTTAAATTTGCTTTCCTTCTGATAGGAATGGAGGAAAGCCTTGTAAGCTCTTTTGTGCCTTCACTACCAGAAATACTCCATCCACAGCTAGGCAACCATGTCTCATCAAAATGGGTTGGGAGGGGAACAAGGAGTTGGCTTACATGAAGATGTCCAGTACATGACTGGACTTGGTGCTCTGATGGGCAGAGCCCTATGAGTGCTTTAGTTTGTGGTTCTTATATGTTTTTTCTCTCTTCTTCCTCACCTGTGCAGTTCTACATGACAACCAGCTGACTCACACTGACCTCAAGCCAGAAAACATCTTGTTTGTCAACTCTGACTTTGATACTCTGTACAATGAGAAAAAGGTGAGCTATGTCTGAAAAGAAGTGACTAAACCAGGAACAGCCTGCCTGTCCCTCACTGCAGAAATCTTCCCTATTCTGTACATGTCCTGCAGTCTGTTCAGCAAGAACAGATTTGAAGTTAGGCCTCTTTCTCCCATGTCTTTTAAGAGCCTTAAGCTCTGATTCAGTGGCTTCAGTCCACAGCAGCAGTTCAGCAGCCTTCTGTAACAATGACATGAGACGTAGATAGCTCAGAGCTTCATAGTTGTCATTGTTCTGGTTAAGAGTGCAGACTGGGCAGTTCTAGGGACAGAGGGCTCCTTGGAAAGCCCACCTCAATCCTCAACCAGCTATTAAGAGTAACTGAGGACTTGTTGGCTTGCAGAGCTGTGAGGAGAAATCCATCCGGAACACGAGCATCCGTGTGGCGGACTTTGGAAGTGCCACCTTTGATCATGAACACCACACCACGATCGTGGCTACCCGGCACTACCGTCCCCCAGAAGTGATCCTTGGTGAGAGCTGCCAGGGCTGTGGGAGCCTCAGTTCCCCCAGGGAGCCTAGTGAAAAGCTGCTGGGATTTGTTGGGAGCACAAAGCTAGCTTTATTCTCTTTGCAGAGCTGGGCTGGGCACAGCCATGCGATGTCTGGAGTACTGGCTGCATTTTGTTTGAGTATTACCGTGGCTTCACGCTCTTCCAGGTACGACTCTTGCTAAAGGTGTTGTACCCTTTGGCCAAAGTAAACATCCTTCATGTCTAAACAGGCTAGAACTTAGGAGGGAGGGGAAAGGCAGACCAGGCACTAAAAACTCAGAAGCTAAGTTTGAAGATTGGCACAGGAAAACTCGCAATTTGAGTACTCGTAGTTTGCTGGAAGGATGTTCACTTCTGGTTTCTTCATTGTGAAGACTAGGGAAAGCAAGAGAGGAAGCAGATGGATGGGGCCTGTACCCTGTTGTACTAAGGGACATAGTTTAGTGGGAAGTATTGGTGGTAGGTGGGCGGTTGGACTGGATGATCTTGAAGGTGGTTTCCAACTGTGGTGATTCTGTACTTCCAGACTTCTCTCTCTCCTTACCCTGTACTTGTGTAGCAGGCAGTCCTTTCATCATCAGATCTTTACGCTCTGAAGTAATGCATCATTGCTTTTTTTCCTTTGCAGACCCATGAGAATCGTGAACATCTTGTGATGATGGAGAAAATCCTTGGGCCCATTCCATCTCACATGATCCACAGAACTCGGTAGGAACCCATACCTCAACTCTAAAAGACCAGTCAGCTGTTGGTGGTGGTTGATTAGTCAGGACTCCAGCTCTCTGTTCACACACCAGGACTTACTTCTGTAGGTGTAAGCACAGGAAACTTGCTGCAAGTTTTGGTTTTGAGCTTGATCACAAGTTTTAGGGGAAATGGTTTAGTCTTGTCTTTCAGTCTTACTGGCTGCTGTTCTTCTGTGTGAGTAAGCCTTAGTGAACACCTCTTTCCTCCTCTCCAGAAAGCAGAAATACTTTCACAAAGGGAACCTGGTGTGGGATGAGAACACATCTGATGGGAGATACGTCCAAGAGAACTGCAAGCCGCTGCGTGTAAGTGCTGCTGAATCTCTGTGGGGTTCCTTCCTGAGATTTGTGCTGGGGGAAGGGCAGGAGGTACAGAGCCCCAGACTTAATGAGGTTGTGACAGCCATAACCTTGCTGTAGGTCACAAAACTAGGGGCTGGTGTTTGCTTCCTCTTGTACTGGAATCTACATCTGTCTCACCTGCCCTTCTGTTTTAGACATACATGCTGCACGACTCACTGGAACACGCACAACTCTTTGACTTGATTAGAAGGATGCTGGAATTTGACCCTTCCCGGAGGATCACATTTTCAGAAGCCCTCCTGCATCCCTTCTTTGCTGGCCTCTCTGCAGAGGAAAGGATGCTGTGCGGTCGTGGCACCAGCCGGGATCTGAGCAGATGACAGCTGGGGAGGGTGTGATACCTGCTAGATTTGTACAGATGGGAGTGGTTCTCTCTTCTCTCAGAGTTCAGAGGGGCACTATGACATGAACCCTGGGTCGGGGAGGTGAGGAAAAGCTACAGCAGAAAGCACAGATTTGTCTATTTATATGTTGTAAAGTTAAAATAAAGTGTTTCTTATTGTTTGATACTTCCCTCGTAGGCAGGTGTAGGGGTCTCTTACTCCGAGGTTTCTTTTCCCCCCCCCTTAAACATGACAGAGCTTTGCTCCAGTGGAGGGTGAGAAATGAGTTAGCAGGCTCAATCTCTTCCTGGTCTCTTCCCTCTTGCCTCTGAGCTACAGAGAGCAGTAGGGAAGCTTGTTCCACCAAGGATATCAGGCTCCAGCATTATAGCAGACAAGTGAATAACACACATGAATAGTTGCACTTTATTTCAGGGCATCCTGCAGTAGCAGCAGGAATTAGTCATTACAAACATTGGGTCACAAATAGAATCAAGCAGTGACACAGTGCAGTGATCTTCACATGGTCATGACCACAGCAGCGCTCACAGGCAGTTCCTATGATGGTTGTGAAGGTAGAAACTTCTTTATCTCAAACACATTTAAAAAAAGAAAAGGTGTTGCATTCTTTGAGTTGCAATGGCAGTGTGAGGGAAGGAGGAAACCAAGGGATCTGGCCCTCCTCCTGGGTCTTGCAGAGTGCTCTACCAGAGCACACACCTGCAAAGATGCATTTCATGTGGGCAAGACCCATACTTCCTTCCTCAAATAAGCCTTTGTATCCGAGAGAAAGTACAGCCAAACACCCAGATGCGTTCTCACTTTCAGAAAGCGAGCACAGGGTAAAGGTTAACAGTGCAGAAACACAGCCCTCAATCCCCCATTGTGCCCTAAACACACCACAGAAGTACAAATGGGAAATCATCTTCCATACCTGGGGGTTTGTGCACTATGTGGCACTACCCCCTTTATTTTTTGCTTAAAGGTGAGGAACCCTATTGCTGCATGGGCCTTGGTGCTTCCTGAAGCCACACAGCAGTGATTACAGGCCTGATGCCAGCTGCCATCCCTGCAAAAATGTCTTTACCTGGTTCAGTGCCCTACTGGGCATTTAGCTTCAGCCACTGGCACAGCAGCATAGCAGCAAGAAAGGATCCCATGATTAAGTCTTCGATGTTTTTGCACCATTACTGCTCTGCACGTGCAATCTACAGTTTAACAGCCAACCCAGAAGAGACAAGAAAAGCTTGCAGCCTCATTATTTAAAAAGAAGTTCCATTACAAGTGTCTTGAGCAAGGGAATTGAAAGTACGAGGACTAAGCCTAACAAAGTACTAAACCAACAATCAGGGAACTACCCGCCCTTTTAACTCAGATGCTGCTCTGCAGATAAAGATAAGTTCTAGCTGTGAGGAAACAAGAATTGCAAGGTCAAGGCTTTTCTGCTTTTCCAAGAGCCAACCCCACTGCTGCCCCGTACAGCCAAGTCAGAACCACAGCCTAAGTGCCACTACAGAAGAAGCTAAAACATGGCTCTCCTGAGGAGGGGGTGCTTCTGCTTAGCCCTTCCTGCCCACCCAAGGGCAGAGCAACACCTGCTCAGAGCACTGACAATTCACAAAGCTCAGTCTCTGCAAGAGCACCAAGTCTGCCCAGCCTATGCAGTTCAGTAGTCTCACCGCCAGCAGGGAAAGCAGCTTGGGGGAACCAGGGTCCAAGAGAGCAGAGCCCTTGGTCCTGCTGAGGTAGATATGGCAAGTCTTCCCCCATCACACAGCTTAGAATCACAGAATATCCCAAGTTGGAAGGGTCCCATAAGGATTGCTGAGCCCAACACCACCCAAAAATCTCACCATACTTTTCAGAGTTCTGTCCAAACACTCCATGAGCTCCTGCAGGTGCAGACCCTTTTCCTAACTTCCACCTGCCTGTTTCCGGACACAGCTCAATGCCATTCCCTTAGGTTGTATTACTGAAAAGAAGTGGCCTCCAAACAGAGCCCTGCAGAACCCCACAGTGCCTGGCTGCCAGCCTGATATGTGTAACCCCATTTCCTGCCAGCCCTTTGAGCCCGGCCCATTAGCCAGCCACTCACCCACATCATGTAGCTGCCTAGCTGTATGCTAGACATTTTGTGAGATACTGTCAGAAATAATACCAAAAGTTCTGCTGAAATCCAAAAATGATTTACATGAAGTGGCTTCCCTTTGTTAACTAGGTGGGAAACCTTGTCATAAAAGGAAATTAAGTTCATTAAGTTCCCCTCGTAAACACGTGCTGGCTGTGAGCATCGACTGTGTTGTCTCAATCATTTTTTCTGTAACTCCCAGCATTACCTTCTCCATAATTTTACCAGGCACTAAAGGTAACTATAGGACTGTCAGTTTTACAAAGTCTCCCCTCCTGCCAGTTCTGACAACTGGGACAATGTTTGCAGCTTCCAATCAACTAGAATGCTTCCAGACTCCCAAAGCCATTAAAATACTCATTAAAATTGAGAGGTCTCAGGGTGACATTGGCCAGTTCTTGTTATATCCTGGGATGGGCCCCAGTCTTCTAGGCATCCAGCTGGAGCAGCAAATTCCACACTATTTGGAGGGTTTGCTGGGAGTTCATTGTTCCTGCAGCCACAGACTTTCAAGGGTCCCAGAGTACGTCATCAGTGTTGAAGACAGAGGCAAAGAAGGCATTAAAAGCCTTCATTTTATCTGTGTTTCTGTTTGTGAGGCAACCATCCTTATCAAGAAACAAACCTATGTTATCTCTGGACTTCCTCTTGCTGTTAACTTATTTTAAAAAGCTCTTTTTGTTGTCCCCCACAGTAGTGGCCAACTTCAGCTCTAGTTGAGCTTTCACCACATGAATGGTGGAGAGCAGCTCTAAAACCCTCACTTATCTCCTGAGATCTCTTCCAGTGGCCATACACTTTCCTTCTTTTCACACTTAAGCTCCAGAAAAGATCCCTGCTTAGAGCCAAGCCAGCCTTCTGCCTCACTTCTTTGACTTCTGCCACTTGGGAATCATCTGCTCCTGTGCTCTTAAGAGGCAGCAGCTCTTAAGAAGTGACTATCACTGATGGACCTCAACACCTTCAGAAGCAGATCCCCAGGGGGAGGTCTGAAGTCTGCTCTCCCCACATCCAGCATCAGATCTACGCTTCCTGGCAAAATAATTACTCAACTGCTTCCTTTTAACCAGCAAAGCCTTTTACCTCTATCTCTGATACACTCAGCCTCTGCTCTACGCAGATAAAAGGTAAGAAGTGCCTGATCTGTAAATGCACAGCACACAAGGGTCCACATGTGGTAGGCAGGGCAAACACAACTACAGCACAGCTAGAACTATTCCCACACACAGGGCAGCTCTCCTCATGCTTCAGCCTGACAGAATCCAGCTGCCCTGGAGAAAAGGCACCATGTGAAGCTGTGAAGTCCTCCACAGCTGCCTGAACAGGCTGTGTGACAAGTTTAGGACCAGTAGAAGCTTTGAGGGCAGGTAAGGCCCCAGGAGAACAGAATCAGGAGCAAGCAGGAAGGGAGCCAAGGACCCCTTTGTGGGAACAGGGTCCCTGTTTGGCATCTGCCTGGTGTCTCCTGTGTCACCTTAGCCTGGGCACATAGGCCAGAAGTGACCCTCACTCCAGGTCCCCAGTGGGCACATCGGGACAGACTCCACATCCATTCTCACCTCTGTGTATTCACAGGAATGCTGTGGCCCACCTGTCACTACAGGATATGCAGCCCACTGTGACCTGAGGGCATTCCTGAAGGCCAGGTGTTGTTTCTTTCCAGAAAAGCAATGTGTACCCAGCTATCACGACACAGGTGTGCACACCCACCCTCACACGCAGCCTTCGTGCCCAAAGGGAATGGCCAGATGGGTGACTGGATTCCCAAACCACACATAGCATAGGAAGGATACTAGAAACACTGCAGGGGGGCTCATCCACGCATCACCTGCACCATACAGCACAGAGTCAGAGCAACACGGCCCTGTTTCACTGTGCTTCCCCCAGTTCAGCCACTCACTGTGCCAGAAATAAGGAAAAAAAAAAAAAATAAGCAAACCAAAACACTCTGGAAAAGTTCTTTACCATAACATACCTTGTTCCCCCCAAACAAAGAAACAAACAGCCAAGAGAATACATAAGCAAATAAGGCCTAACTGAGGACATTGGTGCTCCAGGAGCACATGCTGCCTGAGAGCTTCTGGCTCCCAACACAAGCTTTCTGATGAGGGAACTCTCTCCTCGAGGGGATGGAGCTACTACTGCCTTCATGAACAAAGAATGGGGGGGGAAATCCAACAGAACAGAACAAAATCAAGTCCACCCTCCCACTACAACCACAGAAAAAAAAAGGTTATTTCTACACAATCCAAGGGTGCTGCTCCCACCAGGACACCTTGCTGGGTCTATCTGCCCAGAAGGACTGGGAAATGCATCCCAAGTCTCCACACCACCCATTGCTTGTACCAAAACATTTCCATGCACATCCCTATGTTAAACAGTCCCCTGGCAGGTCTGGGCAGCGACTGCTGCCCTTACTAGGGACAGATACCACTCTCCTGCGTGTTCCTTCTTACAGTGGCACAAGAGAATGAAAACAGCTTTGCAGTTACATTTGCTTCCTTCTTTTTGTTTCATTTTATGACATTTTTTTTGTTTAATATGATATTTCTTCTGGAAGGAAACTCTCCAGAACTTCACATCCTTAAGGCTTGTGATGCCTGTTTACCAGTCAGGTTCCACTGGACAGCTTATTTGACAGAACTCCTCTCTTCCTTCAGGTCCACATGGCTGGATGGACTCTAAGTGGAGTGCAGGGGGATGACGAATTTGCAGCCGAAGGGTGAGTGGTAGTTTATTCCCACTTCCTGAAAGACCTTCTGGGGAATGCCAATGTCACAGAGGTACACACGCCCTGCCCTCTCACCCAGGGGCAAGGGGAGGCCCAAGGCCAGCGACCACTTGGCATCAATGCCCTGCTCCATTTCATTTATGGGAGGGTCTATGCTGAGGACGGGTGCCCTGTTCTGGTTGGCCCAGTCCACAACTGCTTTGTACCAAGGCTGATCTCTCAAAAAGGCATTTTCGTGACAATCCAGGCAGTTGATCACTAGGTCAACGGGGGTATCAGGGAGATCTGAAAGAAACACAAGCACTGTGAGCAGCAAGGAGCAGCCTCAAAACTCAAGCTAGGGCTCAGTGCCTTCCCTCCTCACGCTGTGCTGCCTGCAGAGTTTTTTCCATTTTTGTCTCCAGTACCATCAGTCTTGTTGCATGCAGTCTGGCCTCACAGGTTATCACTGCTGTCCTTCTGCAGAAGACACTGACATCAGTATTTCAAGGCTCTGTAGCTTGCTTCAGCAGCCCTCAGATGGCACCGCTGAGCTGGCTCTCCAGACCAGGCAGCTTAGGAAAGCAGGGGACTTCTCTTTCCATTAAAAATGGAGACTTTTCTAATCTGCATGCTGAATAAAAAGCATTTTGTTCTGGAGTATACCTACTGAACAGCAGTCTGTTTGCTGCAGTGCTGTCTGCTTCACTCAGCTCAGCTAGCCTCCTTGTACTCACTGTCTACTGCATTACCTCTTCACGAAGCACCTGGTGTGAGGTCTGCTGTTTTCTAACAGACACGTAGCCCTGCAACCACAACCACAGCACAATATATTGTGCAGTGCTCCAATTCTCACATTTGGTACTCCCAAAGAGTTTTAATAAACTTTTTGGTGCTGGTGAAATGACAAAGAGAAACAAGCTCTCTCACAACAAACTGCAGAGTATCAGCTTATTCTAGAGCACACTAAGATCTGAGCTCTGACAACTAGCTCAGCAAGGCTGCATGCTTGGTGCAAAACAGCAGTTTGGATGCTCATTTACTTGTAGTTTCAATATGCTGAACAAGGCAGGCCGTTATCCTAAGAGAATGGCTGGTCTGACTCAGCTTCACACAGCAGCTCTTGTGTTTATTCAGACCGGAAACATCTGTACAGCACAACTGCTCCACTGTTGGACCTCTCGAACCTCTGCCATGCCACCAGCCTCCAGGCACACTTCTGGATGCCACTAGATGGTGCCACTAGCACGGACAAGCAGCACCAAACCGAACAGCAGAGATATCTGCAACCTGCACTGCTCCCCACTTACCTTTGACGCTGGACACCTGCTGGCCTTGTGTCTTGCTGAAGAGATTCAGCTCATTGGTAATGGACTCCAGCATCTTGACGAAGTTGGGCAGGAAAAGGATGACGTGGACGTCGTGGTTGGAGAGGTGCCGTCCGCAGCTGATCCCCTGAGCCCCCTTCACGTGGGGGCCACACAGCAGGGCTACTGTGGGCCGTTGATGCACGTTTTTCGGGTTCAGCCTAAACGAAGACAAAAGGGGAATGGTAATAAGCCCCCAAATCTTCTACCTTTGTACTGCAAGAGGAAAAAAAAAAAAAAAAATCAGTAAGATGCAAATGAACAGGTGTTTTGCAAGCCTTCCGCTTTCTCTGAAGAGAAAGGAACCCACACCCTTGTGCAGGGCTGATAGCAGAGAGCTGCTCTGTTTGCAGGTTCCCTTCAAGATCTCTTTGCACCCATGGCAGAGAGGTGGTCCCAGCCTGCCCTGACTCATCCCACAGCCAACTTATACTTTCAAAGCAGGGGATACTTCCACTGCTCCTGCAGCAAGCCTGAATTTAGTGCGATTTTACTTTTAGAAGACTTTTTTCCCCCCTGTGACTTTGAAGGGCAATGCTGTGAAAACCACAACAGTTTAATAGTTTAAGCTGTAAAAAAATAAGCGCTCCAAAGCCAGCACAAGTGATAAAGCCAGTCATACATCAGGTTTTTCAGCTGAGAGGGTCAGAGCTGCCTGGTAGGTCACCACTTGCTGCTTTAATTCAAGCAGTCAGGTCCTAGAATGCAAGTAAAGCACTCCTGCTCAGAGACCATTAGGGTTTACCTTCTGTTTCAAGAATGAATCATTTGGACTTACATAACAATATAAGAATACATGTGCAATTGCCTGGTCACATCAATAACAATGCTAAGGGCAAGCACTGAGTCAGCAAGTGCAAAGAGTGGCAAATGCTCTCCAATCTTGCTACCAAATGAGGCCCACCAAAATGGCAAATGTTCTCAGTTTAGATGTCCAAGAGCTAACTCAGCCTTGTGAAGAGCAGAACAGCACTTTGCATTAGCCAACTTTTTACTGCTATCATTAAACTATAAGTGTATAAACAACAAAGGAAAGGTTTAGCTATTTCCATAAAGGGTCAGGCTCATTAAAATTCTGAAATGGTTTAAACAGCCTTGGGTTACATCTGCGCAAAGCTAAGTTTCCTGAAAAAAATGCCCATTAAATGGAAAGAAAAACCATCAGTTCTGCTTTGTCTTTGACTCAAAAGACATTTCTGCTCCTGGACACAGCCAAAAAAAAGCCCTTCTCTTGGTATTTTATTCACCCAAGGTGGTATGTTCAATTGGTACTTTTTTAGAGAAGGAAAAATAAAGTGGAAAATACTAAAACCACATCAGGAGCCTAAGCCTCACACTTGTCTGCATACTTACTGGAAAAGCTGACGTGTGAACTACAGCAGAAGGTCTGCCTGGCACTGGGATGAATTTTTTCTTTTAAGGAGAGAAAACAGGTGACAGCTGCCTCCAACTGCAGGACCACTGTGCAACAAGTGACAGCAGGCACCTACATCACGTCTACCTCAAAAGCAATCTCTCTGCCTCTTTCACTTATCCCCACTTAGAGGAAGAAGTTAGCAGAGGCAAGATCTTCTTAGAAAGGGCAAAATCCCATCAGAGGTGATGGGATGAGTGTTACCTGTTGGGTCCCCCGAGCAGGCTCAGAGCCATCTGACTTGCACACACTCCTGTCATCTCCAGCCTTCGTTCCAGGGTCAGCCCATGCTTTTCAGCAACCGACAGCAGCTTTTTGTGCAGCTCATACGACACGCTGGGCACAACCAACCCAGAGTCTGGATTTGAGGAAGAAATAAAGAGAAAAAGTTTCAAAAAAATGGAAAAGAAATGTAACTGGAGACTTTTTTCCAGAATGCTGCAGTCTGTTTTTTCCCCAAACAGCAGTCAGATGCTATAAAGAGCCTGCTCAACCCAATAATCTGAGTTCCTTCTGAGAGCATCACATGTATCCCATCTTGCCAGCTCAGTTTGCAGCCACCACAGCCAATACCCCAAGGGATATCACATCAGCAGCTGCAGTGAACCCACTTATCCCCAGACACCGAGAAGGGATTCTGGAACACACTTCCCTCCTCAGCCAGGGGGAGTTGCTACTGTAAGTTACTCTTACAATGTTAGTATCATAGGCAGCCTCCTCTCACAAGAGAGGCTGTAAGCTAGATACTCCCTGCATTTACACTTTACTGCAGTTGGTTCCTGGATCTCTACCAGTTCCAGTGCACACACCACATCACAGCAAGCCATCCCCATTTGCCATGCAAGTGTCCCCACTGCCTTGGTGGTGCCATGTCACATCATCTGCCTTCAGACAAACACTGAACTGCAACATACTGGAGCAGCAAGGGAGCGAGGCAGCTAAAAGAAGAGAGTCTATAGAAAAATTCTTCTCAGACATTTGACAGCCTGGTCTGAGAGCCAGGAAATGCTCCAGCATGTGGATCAGGGGAAAAACAAACAAGAGAGGTTTTGTTAAGCCATGAGAACAATGCCTGCAGCAGGCAGTAATACCACCACTCCAGCTTGCTTCCACAGCAGAGTTGTGTGGAATCAGCAGGTGAAAGAGAAACAAACCTGAATAACTCTTCAGGCCAATCCATTACACACTCCTCCTAACAGGGGAATCTGGTGCTGGCTTCACAGAAGAACCCTGCAGTAAACTCTTCTGGAAACAGAGGGGATTTCTTGACACAAGAAGGGAGCTATGGGAAGCCACAGCAATTGTTTGATGGTGTGCTGAGCAGCAGAAAAAACTAGAAATCGCTACTCAAGGCATATGGAGAAAGAAGTACAAAACATAAGCATCAGGTGAGAAAAATTGCTGTAACAGCCAGCATGATACCTCAAATATATCTGACCATAGAAACCAGACTCTGTATTCTAGCTTTTCTCCACGGCTTTATTATTGCATCCTCTTTGGTCTGTTTGATAATTAGCCCTACACAGGACCACAGGTACAGGCTGTTCTGCCTTTCACACACACTCCCACAAGCCCTGGGGATCCTAAACCATCTCCCAGCTCAGAAGCAGCACAGCTCAACTCCTTCCCCATGCACGAGGAACACAGCTGAAGCACAGCAAGAAAAGCTCGTTTCCCTCTGCTCAGCTCACTCACAAGCACCGCTCCCAGCCAGACAAGCAATCCCAGCAGAACCACTTTAGAGCTTCTGTGTTACAACGCCAACTGTTTAGAGGAGAAGGCTCCGAGTTCTGGTTTCTCTGCAGACTTGCTTTGCTGGGAATTCCTTGCAGGGCTTCTTTGTTGAAGCCTCAAAAAGAAAAGCTAAGAAGAAATACTAAAGGCCTAGCATAAATGCTCAGCAGCAGTACCAGTTCAAAATGGAGCTGCAACGGCGTACACATCCGCTCAGAAAGGAAACCTAACAGTCACTCACAGGCTCAGAAAAACAGCATGAGAACCAGTTGTAACAAGCCACTGCCACATTCAAATGAGAAAAGCAAAGTCTTTTAATTGCTAAGAACTATCGTTTGTACTGCCATATTTCCCCAGGGTGCCAGGCACAAACCACTAAGCCAAGGCACTGCGGAAATAGCAGGTTTTGCATATCCTGAGGTTTTCAGAGCACAGGTGCTCCTGTAAGGTAACAGTAAAAGGCTGCAGCACGTCCTGCAAGGCAGAGTAGATCACACTGGATGCTGGGCTGAATCCCTACCACTTTCATCTCCCATCCCTGCAAACACGGAGGGACCAAACATGTTCAAGTGCTTGAGCTTGCATGCTAACAGCCCATTAAACCACCTCTGCTAACAGTGTTTTATTACACGCAGTGCATATGGGAGCATGCACACTATCAAAGTCATTTCGGAGTCCTGATAGCAGCCGCCAAACGTTTGGAGTCATAAGCCACTAATAACGCTACGCCTGGCCCACTAGTCACGCACCTGCCCCGTGTTCACACACCCTCTCAGCCTCCAGAGTCACGCAAGGCTCAATCCCATCCCTATTCCTGCTACTTCATCGGGTCTTGTTTTTCAAGCTTGAGGGAGGACTTGGAATGAGTGACCTGAGGTCAGGATGTCACTGCGCGGTGGGGCAAGCCACATCCTCTGCTAATGCGAAGCATGCGACTCGCAGAGCTCCTTCTGAGCTGTGAGCTGCTGCTTAGCCATGGCACAAACTCCTCAGAGCAGAAGGGTGGCAGAGCCACCTCGTATTTCTTATCTATCCAGTGCAGTGTGGCTACTGCCAGTGCCTCCTCTTCAACCACTTACACCTCCCTCAATCGCTTCCTTCAGAACACGAGGTGTTACAAGCACACCTCTGCCATCAGCAAGACAAAACCCAGCGCCCAGTGGGTTAATGCAAAGAGAACTGCTGGCACAGGATGAACTCATGTTTAGCACTTGGCTTGGGCTATACTTTGCCCTAATTGCTCCCTCTCAGGGGCAGGCTCCAATGCCAAGAGAACTTCCCTTCTTCACACTCACGCAAGGCCCGACCAGTTCTACTGGCTTATCAGAACCAGGCTGAGGGAGTTAAATAAACTCTGACAGAAAGCAATCAAGGAGGCGACGGGTAAACCCACAAACAATAACACTACTGCAACAGAACTGAACTCCTGCCAACTTTAATTATGTTTGGGTTGGACAGTGCGTTTTTATTGTTTGGTAATGAAGGTAATAAAAGAAATTAGCTCAGGCCTTTTAATATTAAATAAATGTATTCTACAGCTGCCTGGAAAAAAAAAAAAGGGGCAGATAAAGCCTGAACAGTTTTGTGACACGCAGAGTATTGCTGAAGCCTGATTAAACATGAAGTTCAGCACACAGGGCACACTCTGTCCTGTGCACGATGACTACAGACAAGTTACCTCCTCCAGCTCCACGATGCCATGCTACACGCATGCTGCTTGAAGGAAAAAAAACACCCTATGCCTGCAGAAGGACTAAGCTAACTGTCCTGAAGTTATCAAAAGAAGGTTTCCCCCAATAAGCCCAGAGCAATGTTGCTGATGAAGTCCCAAACCTGTGCTTTCAGCTGGACAAAACAGGAGAGAGGCAAGAGATGCTCAATCTCCATCTTTTACCCTGATAGTTGCTCTCCAGCTGCTAGAAGAATTAAAAGCAAGTTGCCTGAACGGATGACACAGTCCTAGATTTTGGATTTCATGGAAACTATACACAAAAGCTCCTTGCCTCCAGCAGTAAAGAGCACCAGATTCCACTGCTGCCCAGCTCATGCTCAAAGATGCAGTCACCTGCAGTGGAATAACCTGTGTCCATGTGAGGCAGGCAGTTTGCTTGCTGCCTCTTGAAAGGTGTAAAGCTGGAGCCACCTGCCTGCAGACTCAGGAAAACACAGTTCTGTGCCCCACACACTATTCCAAACACGAGGCCCTTAAGGGTCAGATTATTATTTTATTATTATTTTTTAAGTCACCATTATGTTTTAATTAAGACAAATTCTGCAGTTTTGACTGAAGTTCCCGTTTGTTTCTCCCAGCACTAATTCACAATTCACTCTGGCTGAGCAAAAACTTGTCAGATGGACAGAAAGGCCTTCCCCATGACCCCTTTCTTTTCTCCTGCAGTTGCACAAGGTGAACTTCATCTGCACCCTCCTCAAAGATCCCACAAACATTCAGCACACACAGCCACTGCAGGGCAGTTATCCACAGGCTAAAGCACTAAAACTTACAGAGAGAAGAGTCAGCCAAGGACACGGCACAGAAAAGCCACACTGTCATCATCCACACAGAGCACTCAGCCTCAGTTCTGCAGTCTGACCCTGGCACATCAGCTCTGCTTGCTGCCTTGATTTACTCTGAAGCCTATTTTCTTTTTCCATCTCCTTAGTGCATGGAAAAGGAGTTTCTTGCAGGACAAGTTTGAGGTCTGAGTAGGAAGCACAGAGAAATAAATGCCTTACCAGTACTGCAGGGAAAGAAACAAATACCTCATCTATCTGGCAAACAGCCCTCCTCTCTACTCATCTCTGTGTGCTGTCTCAGCAATACCCACTGCTCACAAAGCCAGACTTCAGCTACAAGCCTACTGTGTGCATCACCAACCCCTGCTCAGTGTGGGAAAGAAGGGAAGGTGTTGTGGCACACAAGAAATTTCAGTCTAGTTTGATGACTATAGGCCAGGTGAGGGAGATTTTAATCCAGTTTAATCATCATGAACTGAAACCTATGGCATGCAGGTTGCATGTGATAGCAATGATTAAAGGTAAGAGGAAAGAAGAGATGAACTCAAAAAGGAACCATTCAGAGACACAGATATGACTGAGATTATTACAAAGAGTCACTGATGAACCCGCATGCTTCACCCTCCCACAAATGTCTCTAGGCTCAAAGATACCAGCAGATCATTGGCTTCGTGGATACTGCTGAAAAACCAAATCCCAAAACACTGCTGTTTGAATTTTGCTCTGATGCTGATAGCCAGTAGGAGGAACAGAGACAGGCCCATGCCAATGGGCATTTCAGCTCTAGCCAGACAGCTTTGGAAGTAGACAGCTCACACCTAACAGAAAAAAAATCAGCAACCTGCCCTTTCAGGGAGGAGGGTTTGCATGAAACAGCTGTGCTTCCTTTTTTAAGCATCATATAATAGCAAGCAGACAGATCAATAGCTGCTAGCCCCAAGGAATAAAGAGCAGTTAAGTATTTGGGAGTGACTCACCTGTAGAGCTCCAGGAATAGACACAATTTAGCCACAATCAAAGAACTACTAGGCTATGAGCTTTGGGTTTTCATTTCTGTTAGGAACAGATTCTGATCTTCATTCCCTACTTTCTCCACCATAATCCCTTTCCCTTCTGCTCCAGAACACTGGGTAGATGCCCTGCACCACTCCACCCTGTGAGACGCCCAGCATGAGTTTCCAAAGTCAGCTGAGCAAACCCCAAAGCATTTTGCACCATGGGAAAACCCATGCAGCCTGCAGCACTCTACTCAAATCTGAGATGTGCTGAGCCAGAAATCCATGTTAGACTTCTCATGAAGTAGAGCTGTTCTCCCTGCAAAACTCACATTTCTGCAATTATTTCATGTATATATTGTATACAAAAGGTAATCAAAGGAGAAAAACAGGGAAAAAAGCTTGACTTTTTGGCACCATAAGATTGACTCTGAAAAAAGCATCCTGATGGGATGCAGTGCCTATTGAGCTTTGCTTACATCCTTCAAGGCTCGCTTCTTCCCAGTCAGTAACAAACACTGAGACTGGAAGCCTGTGGAGTAACAAGGGCTGGATATTTAGCTCACTGCCAATCACCACCAGCATCACTTTGTGTTCTTATAGCAAACAGAATGATCAGCCAGAGCTCTTAAAACAATCACCTTCAAGGCTGGCCAAGGGAAAGAGAAATGCTGAAGTACTTACTTCCCTTATAGCTAGAAAGTGCTTTTTGCAAACAGCTAGAGTGCTTTCTGTGAATAGAGAACCCTTCAGGAGTCCAGATACAATTCTAAAAAGAAAATTTAGAAGCAGAAAAAAACCTTATCACAGATATATCCAAAATTAATGGCATTTGGGGCTCCTGGCACTGAGCTGACTTCAGCACTACTGCTCTTTGAGTCACTGTAGCTTAGCATCCTCCTTTCGGCTGCTAAACAAAGAAATCCAGACTTCATCAAGTGACAGCCCATCATCGCTCCAAGCATACTGAATGCCCTTCTGTCCTTCTCACTACAAAAAGCACTCGACTGAAAGCCAGGAACAGCAGGCAACTTACAACTGTTTACAAAAGCTTTTGCTAGCTAGCTAGTAGCATTTCCTAAGCAAAAGTAAACTTCCTCAGCTAACACAAAGAAAACTGCCCTGTGTGGGGAAAAACACGGCAAGATCACAGTGATGGGATGCACAACTAGCAGGGCTGTGAACGTGCACCACACAGCACAGTGAAAAGGGAGCTGTAGTTGGCAATACCTGTTGTGTAACATGACAACTTCTCTTCCAAACAGATCCAGAATTCCACACAGGAGACTAATCACCCAGCAGCAGCTAATGAGGCTAGCAAGACCCTGCAGCTACAGAGAGGGTCACTACTCTCCCTCTGCAAACTTGCCAAGAGCAAAACAAAACAGCAGTGCTTTCACAGGGCTGCTCCCTTCTGCACGCTGCAAACAGGGTGCCAAGAGTTTCCATAGGAAAGGACAATACAGTTCAGCAAATAGTTTCATTTCCAAGACCTGAATTTCCACACTGAGGCTTGCTGGTTACAGCGTGACAGTTTTCCTCCCAGGAATTATGCTTCCAGAAAGTTATATCAGCTGTACTTCTCAAACAGTTGGTTAGCTTTTGTTTCGGTCTAGACATACATAGAGGCTCTGTCTCTTCTAAAATAAGCCAGCTGGGAGATGAATTGACAGATAACAAACTTTAAAATCCTCACACAAAGGAAGAAATGCTTATTCACACATAGTACAGCCCATCAGGAGCCTCAAGCCAGAGGGTGGTGTAGCAATTCTGAAAGCTTGCACAGAATTAACATGTTATTGGTTAAACTAAGCAGAAGGAAAAAAAGGCATCAGAAGCTATTAATACAGACCTGAACTACCACTTCTCCTTCAGGAAGTCTCAAAGTTGTCAAAGATAGCAGATCAACAGGAAGATGGATGCCACAAAAGGAAAAGTAAGATATCACTGTATAGCAGAACCAGTAAGAAAATGACATTTTTCTACAGAAAAGCAGCAAATCACTGTGAATGAATCAGCTTCCTTCCAACAAGCATTTCACACCCCAGATGGAGTTTTTCTGAGCAGAGAAAGAATGACAGGCCAAAGACTGAGCACGCTCATGCTCGATAGCCAGACTGCCAGGGTCCAGCTATTTAGTGCCTCTCTTCAAAGAGATCTGACATTTGATTTCATCCTGATGTGGAAAAGTGTCCCTGGGGTGCCAAAGCTCCCTCACTCCTATGTTTTTTAGCACTTGCAAACTGAAGACAAGCCACAAATAGGCTAAAGTTACAGAGAATTTGCAGCAAAGTGTAGCATTAAGTCAGACATGCTTCATAGGACATGTATGTATATAAAGATTCCCAGTTGACAAATACATTAGCATAGAGAAGCAGCTCTTCAAGAAAACACCACTGGTAGGTGGCCAAAATAACAAATAAAATGTTGGTGAACAGGAGATGAGGAGCAGTTCTACTCCTCCCCAGAGCCATGGATTAGGAACTCAGGAATCGTTTTCTGCATTTAGATTTTAGGAGTGCTACTTCCCAGCAGGCAGACAGCTCATCATGCTACCCCTCACCTCTACCCAAGAGCCCATTTCATGGCAGTAAGGAACAAACATTAGACACGAGGGAAGAATTAAAGCCCACAAAAAAAGCCATTTGTTTGGAATTATGGATTGGAAGACCCAGAACCATTTCTTTTCACACCAGTAACATTAAAAGCTCCTTATAACCACACAACAGTGATGCTCTGGAACAGGTTGCCCAAGGAGGCTGTGGATGCCCCATCCCTGGAGGCATTCAAGGCCAGGCTGGATGTGGCTCTGGGCAGCTTTGTCTGCTGGTTGGCAACTCTGCAAATAGCAGAGGAGTTGAACTAGTTGAGCATTGTGGTCCTTTTCAACCCAGGCCATTCTATATGATTCTATGATAAAATACTTGAAATCTCCTGTCTTCTGTCCAGCAAGCAGGAATTGTGACACGGCTCCCATCAAAGCATGGTTTCTCTTCAGCTTCCATTCTTTTTAATCCAACCTTCAGTTTTGCTCCTTACTGCAGAAAACTTACCTTGTCGCCCTACCTGGATATTTTTTATCTCAAAACTATTGCAAATAAAGGTTACATGCAGACAAAAGGCACAGATCCAACCTTACATCGGTGAATGTACCACGCTAAGCTGACAGACACCTTGATACACCCCAGCAAAGCTGCAGAGCTTGCACCCTTATCATGAAGGGACGTGGCATACCCGTGCAGAATTCTTTGTTAGCATTCTGGGGTACCACAATCCGTCTGTAGACTATGGGCTCTGATTCCAAGATGTTTTCATCATGCCGATAACGAGCTGGCTTTTCATTCGGGGTCCCACGGGAACGGGTGCCGCTCCTCCTCTCGTAAGTCTCAATCTCTTCAAACACAGCTGCCTTGTCAAAAAGGGCCAGGTTCCCTTCAAAATCAAAATCTGTGTCTGGGATTTCATCGATGTCATCCCCGAAGCACTCATCATCTTTGCTCTTCATCTGCCCGTTTTTCAGCCCGCTCTTCTTTGGAGTCACCTGGTTTGGATGGCGGCTACTGGATGACCCTAAACAAAAATAAAAGCAAGTTTTGTAAGAGAGGAGAGCTCATATTTGGAGTCTACTGACCCAGGAGATGCTTGTTTCTCAAAGCACCTGCAGACCTCATCTTTGGTATTACTCATGCTGAGATAAGCTAACAGAAAATAGAAGAGAAGGCACCAGGGAAAAGACGACTTTCAGGGACTTTCCTTTGGCAAGACTAGAAAAACAAGCTTGATCACAGTAGGTAAACCAAGCATTTCTACTCATTTAATTCAAGATAGTGTTATGTTAGTGATAAGATAACATGAGAGCCCTGGTCTAGGACGATCTTATTTCTACTACACTGAGCTGATGTTCACACAGCCATGTAACCCAAGATCTTTTTGGAGTTCTCCTAAATTTCAGAACCTAACACAAGTTCTTCTCTTCCAAAATAGGCTGCCCACCTACTAATGACCTATAAGGGATGCTTAAAACCCGGAATATGAAGCACTGCTTTCTCCTCTCATTAATTACCAACAGATGCATTTCCATTCCCTTATCCATACCACATTATTCTATTTACCCACTGTCTTGCTCATTTAATTAGACTTCTTTCCAATCAGTAATTGTGAAAGTCTGCTTTCTCTGAAGTGATCTTGTCAGAAAACTTCTCATTCAGATGGAGGACACAAAGCCATACAAAATTACAAGGCCAACACACCCTGCTTTTTTGCCTTCTGTACATTATGCATGTCATTCATACGCAACTAAGTCCAGACAATATTTATCTGTTAATTATATCCAATATTAAATCTGCAACTACTAGAAAATATTTCAGGCCGATTCCATCACTTACAGTTACCACCTATGACATTCAACAGATGGACAAACAGTTATCAGATCAAAACAGCTTGCTTTGCTAAAATATTTATTGTATTTTAAGGTAATCATCCCTGAGTACAATTAATATAAGTGACTATATGCACAGAATCTGTCTGATAACACTGAAACAAATTACCACCAAAATGACATGTGTTCTTTGGTGCACGTGTCTGCTCTTTGTCTGACAATCACCTCCAGAAATTAAGCAGCATGCATTTCTTTTTTGATTTACACATTAGTGACAAATAGTGAGAAGGTTCAGATCATCTATGGATGTTTACAGAACAACCCACAGACTTTCAACAGGCAACACCTTCGCGATGTCTGGAAAAGTTGCTTGTAAATCAAATGGCTTTGTGGAGTCTTCATTCCCTGCAAAAACATCTCCCTCCAATGACCATTTCCCTATAGCACATTTTCCTACAGCACTTTGTTGGCTGAGGGTTAGGTTTTTGGGGTTTGTTTGCAGTATGGCAACAGTTTGAATGCTCAGCTTACACCAGAGTAAAGCCAGCTATCCCCAAGCACCCCTGCTAGCACCTAGTCAGACAACAGAGGTCCCTGCAGCAACACAGCTAACTTCCCTACAAAGTTTATGCTAACCTCACTGTATCTCTAACCATAGCACTAAAGCCACTACAAAGCCACAGTTATCAGTGCAATGGTCAGCATGAAATACTGGATACAGCATTTGTCAACACTTTCTATTTCTAGAGTCTCAATAATAATTTAATAATAAAATTATTACTAACTATAACAGATAGCTCATCTAAAGACTCATTTTCAAGCTACTGGAGACTTCACAGTTTGTAAATGGCTGAGAACAAACTACTGAAATGCAGCTTTTGTCAAGAAGCCACTCAAGTGTAGAGAGCAGAATTGAAGAATTGCTGGTAACAACATAACTTAGAGGGAAAGGACAAGGCTTTCTAGCAAGAATGCCAGTATACAAGCTGCAACCAGTTATTTACATACAGGTTTAAGAAAAAGCTTTTAGAACAGAGTTTTCACCCTCCCCCCTCACCCCCCCAGGAAGGATTCCCAAACAAAAGTTAACACACAAATCACACCAAAGCTGTACACAACTTGGCATGGAGTTGGCAGACATTGCATTCAACACTGCTGCTAACAGCAGCACAAGAAACAAAAACCCAGGCCAACACAACAGGCCAAGTCTCCAAACGTTTCACTGACTGCAGGTCAAAGCAATAATCAAGAGACTCAAAGTTCACAGAAACGAGAGCTTGCACTGAACACAATGAGAAAACAAGCCCACTTCTTGTGTGAATGTCAGATGTTATGGCAGCTCGGTCTGTTCCTGTTACCCAACAAGAGTTCTTACACTCATTGCCAAGATTTCCTCCAAACAACTCTCCCCTACCCTCAGCTGACCCAAAAAGCAAACTGTGGGGATGGGCAGCCCCACAGCGCAGCAGATCCAGGGGACAGAGGCAGCTGATGTGAGCAGCGTGTAAATGCTGACTGAATGAAAAACTGCATTAGAAAAACTGCAAGAACAATGGCTGGAAAGCTCCTCAGGCTCCCCTGCAGATCTAGTGAATGGGAGCCTCATCAAAACGAGACGTGCCAGCATTGTGCTGGGCAGCTCTCTAATCCACACCAATGGATGCCAGCCCTGAAATACTGCTGACCCCACAACAGACTGTTTTATTATAGTCTGCATAACCACCCACTAACAGGGGTTGCAGAGGCTTCCTACTGCTCCAAGCAAAGTTAAGTGGCGTTCCTCTTCCTCTCTAGATGGGCAGGGAGACAGGCAGCTGGCACCATCGAGGGAAAAGGGCCTAAAAATTGGACAAAGGGAGGAAAGGGAAAGCTCATGATAACAGGAGAAGTACCAACTGCCTTCCAGATTGCCAGTGTGACACTATCCCAGGCCCTTCCCTGAAAGCTGCTATTCACAGCTCTGCTTGCTTCCACAGCCTGATCCCCATCCTCTGCCATTCAACCACAGCAACTCAGAGCTTCCAGCTCAGCTCTTTTCAGAGCCACTCTCAGAGCCTCCACTCTGCGTGCATATGTGCACAGCATACCAAAGAGAACAGCACATCTCCACATCAAGTTAGTAGCTTGACATTGCGCAGAAAAACACCTCCCTCTAAAGACAAACAATACTTTCCAGCCTTCTGGTTTGTTTCGTCGAAAAAAAAATATTTTATGTATAGCATACAAGCAAATGTAAAGCCTCTAGTGAGTTGGCTGCCTTCCTGGCAGACCCCTGCAGGAACTCTCAGCAGCAGCCCTGGCATGCATAGCCCCACTCCAGCACAGCACATACCCCATTGTGCAATCTGCACTGCTGCTCAGAGCTTATCAACGCCAAAGGCAGAACTTTGTCCCTGACTTAGCACACTAAAGGGCAGCAAAAGGTCAACTTTGAGTCATACTAAGCATGGACACAGTACAACTTAAGTGCTACATGACATCTCAGCCCATCCTTGCCTTGACTCCTGTGGTCAGGACACCTCCATCCCACTGTGGAAAGACTCACATTATTTGGCCTGCTCTCCAAATAACATTCCAGAGGGTCAGAGATCAATTTTTCTCCCTCATTGAGCTGAAAATGAAGCCAAGCAAACAAGAACCTACTCCTAGCACCTTGTTCAACCTGTTTTAAACAAAGTCTGTAAAAGAAAATTGGACCTGCTGTTGTGCTTATGTAAAAGTGATCCAAGCTGTTGGTGGGTTGAAGTAGTTTGAAGCCCTCACTGCATAACCCAGACCTACCACGTTATGTGAGGTGACCTGGCCACAGGCTCTGCCCAGCAAGACTAAATAAAACAGGAGTTACAGCAGATAACTAGGGGTAAAAGGAAAATAGACAGGCTTGAAGATGGCTAGTTCACCAAGGAGCACATGCCCTTCCCTCACGTCATTCTTCCTTTCTCCTCCCACTTAACTGTTTGGCAATCTCTTTAAAAAAAAAAAAAGAAGAAGTGAATATGAAACTTCAGAAGTGGTCCTTCCAAGAAAATAAAATTTAATCTGTTAAACGTCATAAACTGATTAAACTAACAGAAATCAAAGGAGTTACAACTGTTTCAGAAAATAACAGAGCTGTCGGTGGGGGAGGAAGACTTGCGGAGGTCCAGGAACTTCTCCAGACAACATACAGCCTTTGATCTCCCCGTTTAATTGGCCCTGTCCACCTTGGATTTATTTGTTTTCCATACACAAAAACAAGGGGAAAAAATTAAGTCACATATCCTGATGCTGTAATAATTGCATGATGAAGATCTGGAAGGGAGCATAGCCCTGGGGGCTCCATGGAAGAAAAAAAAAAGGTGAAAACAAAAGAACATACCCAATTCTGGCACAGCACGAGAGCTGGTTGAGGATTTTTTTTTAAACAGGAATAAAAATAAAGCCTGGCTTTGAGATGCACTGATTCTATCTTTACATCATTCTCATTAGAAGATGTTGTGTTTTTAATAACACAGCAAAAAACATGTGTAATTACTTGCAGGGCAATGTTGTAATAAGTTATGGTTATACATGCTTTAACTAGAAGAGCTTCACACTATCATAATCTGGTTCTAGTTCTTTTTAGAGGAAAAACTGAGGCTGTCTTTTGGGCCATTTTCAATAAGGAAAGATAACAGGAGTTAGGAAATCATTCTAACCAGCATTATCCAGTCCTATCTTTTGCAACATTTGATGCTGATGAAGCAGAACACACAGACTGTTATTCAGATTGAACAAGGATAGGCAGAGTTAAACAACAGTAAAACACAGCAGAACTGTAGTGCAACTGATCTTTCCATTCATCTCATGCCCTGCCATACAACTTGCCCTTTCTGTTTTGCCATAACCAGCGCAGCAGAGCATCTTCCTACAAGCTCTTAGATATACTCTCCTCCTGAACACCAGCCTATAGGGCTGGAGAGTGTAAGGAAAAGCAGCTGTGCTCTTCAGCACCTGTTGCTCCTCTTCATTGTGTGTCCATTTGTGTCTGTTCCCTGTTGTCCCCTCCAGATATCCGTACACTCCTTTTCTCAATCCAACCTCTAACCTCACACCAGCAGAAAGAAAAGAAAAGAGTAAGAAGAGATCATGCTAGCTTTTACGGGCCAGTAACAACATCAAGAACTCCTCACAACCCTCCCAACCTGTTGGTCATAGGATTGCAGTGCACAAACATTGATTTGGGCCCCCGCTACTTACTGCAGAAGCCAAGGAAACCATCCTGCTCTTGATTTTTAGCTGATAAAGCACTGTAACAGCCAGAGATTTGACTGCATGAACATTCTCACCAAGTTCTGGAAGAGATCACACCACCACCACGAAGGAAACATAAACACAGAATCACAGAATGGCCCAGGTTGAAAAGGACCACAATGATCATCAGCTCCAACCCCCTGCTATGTACAGGGTCACCAACCAGAGCCACATCCAGCCTGGCCTTGGATACCTCCAGGGATGGGGCATCCACAACCTCCTTGGGCAACTGTTCCAGTGCCTCACCACCCTGAGTGAAAAACTTCCACCTAATATCCAACCTAAACTTCCCCTATCTCAGTTCTAAACCATTCCCCCTTGTCCTGTCACTATCCACCCTCATAAACAGCCACTCCTCCTCCTATTGATATGCTCCCTTCAAGTACTAGAAGGCCACAGTGAGGTCTCCCTGAAGCCTTCTCTTCTCCAAGCCAAACAAGTCCAGTTCCCTGAACCTTTCTTCACACTGCTTTCCTTCATCCTCTGCCTCACTCCATATTCTCAAGAAGCCTGCCAGAACTTTTCCATTTGCCATGTCGTTGTTCTTTGTATCAACATTCGACCTTTCAAGTGCAAGACCTCTGAAAGATCCATACTTGCAATACTTTGAAGCACAGCTAGGTCTCTCCTCACCATTTACCTTTCTCTTCCCCAGACCTTTGGGTGGCAACACAAATGTAAAAGCAAGCAGAACTTTTGTTTGAAATACTCCTGCTGAACAAGGGCATATATTGCAGTGGTAACCCAGGCAGGAAGGAAGGTTACAGGTGAACACACACACATACTCACAAGAATTATGCCTACGACGAAAGCCTTTGGATTGAGTCAGACTTTCCATGTGCCGATCCATATAGCTCTTAGAACACTGCTGCTGGGGGGAGATGATAATATCCTGATTCTTCATGTCTGTCCTCCTCGGGATGCTCTGTGGGGCACTGCTGGAGAAGGGCTTCTTTAACATCTTCCCAGTGCCATTCTGGCTGGGCCCAACTTGGCAGCCAACCCCAGGGATGCCCGTGTCTGCCTGCTGCAGGTCCCCACACTGCCTGCTATCCCCTGGCCCTGGGATCTCCAGAATTTTCAGCTCAGTAATGTCACCTGCCCTAGAAACCAGAAAAGAAAACCAGTCATTCAGAGATTCAGCATTCCAGTTACTTTTACAAACAAAAACAACCAACATCGTACAGGGGATTGGTTAGGTGTTTCTTTATGTGCCATTATCAGTGGAAACAAGAAAAAGAAGAATTTTAATACTCAGGCCCATATATTCCAGACATCAAAACATTCAGCTGAAATCACGTGTATTAATAAAAACCTCAGTGTTTCTGTGCTGCACCTGGATTTTGTTCAGGAGGTTCTGTTCCCAGCTTAAAAAGGAATCAATCAAGCAAAAAAAAAAAAATTCTTTTTAAATGAAAGCAAACAGCACAGATCTTTCCAAAAATCTGTACTTAACAGTTTCTAGATAACAATTATCCTCAGCCTGGAAGCTATTTTTAATCCATATCTACATAAAGCTATCATTAAATTAGTGCAATTCACACTTGGACATAGTTGGCATTTGCTGTTTCAAGAGAAGGAGGATGATGTAACTAATGTAGCAGTGAGTGTGAGCCAAAACAAAACAAAGAAGTGGTTGCAAAGACCTCCATCTGGACTGATTGCAAGACATAAATTAGAAGTTAGAGTCTTCAATTTCAAACTTAATAAGTATGTGTCCAGATGGGATGCAGAACTAACAGCAGAAAATTAGCAAGACTTCCACATCTCCTGGAAAAACATGGGAAAGGACAATGACCAATCTTCAAAATGCAAGTTCTTTAGGAAAAATAATTGATCCCCTGATGTTAGTGCTTTATCTTACTTAAAAATAAAAATCAGTGACTTGGAGACTTAACTTCTGTATTATGAAAGTTGCAATGGAAATAGGAAAATGCCCAGTGACAAACTGCTCTTATTTTTTCTTTTCTTGACACCAACGTTACCAGGAGCTGGTAGGAAGGAGCACATGAGAATAAACACAAAGCTGCTCTGCTTCAGCATCCTGCTCCCAAACTCTCTCCTGTCTACACAGAGGAAAGAACATGGGGGAAAGAGAAAGGAGGTGGTGCTTTGAAAAACTGCATGTAATTAAATTGTACTGGGGCAACTGATCTAATAAAGTGCAACCAGAGAGGTAAAGTGTTATACATACTGAGAGTAAAGTTTTAAAAGAGGACCAACTTCTCAGCTACTCAAGAACTGAGTAGAATGTGTATACACAATACACACAGAGCCAGAACAGTTTGTCTTTTGTGCACAAACTAACAGAAACACCAGAGGCACTGCTCATCCAAAGATGCTCAGAAGCAGCAGGAGGATTTAAAGCAAAGAGCCTTTTCTAGGAAAAAAAAAAAAAAACAAAGCAAAACACCCATCCAACCCTCATCTGGAAAAGACAAAGGAGACATTGGGACCAACACTAACCTGAAAGTGACTTCTGGCACGAGACATTTGACCCCG